AAAATTTGTAATAAAATAGTGGTAGAGAAATAATATTTACAAATTTAATCTAAAATTTTAAATAAAATTAAAAAAATATTTCTAAAACTGTAGCAAATATAAGTCTAACATATACGGTATAGTACATAAAATAGTCATATTTGTTTGAACAAACTTAAAATTAGTTATATTTTTATAAAATAGCAAAAGAATGAAATTTATTGAAATATTTATATTAAAATTAGATAAAATTCTAAAATACAAAAACTAATTAAATTGTAATAAATATATTATATGCTCATAATTAATAACTTTAATTGATTACTATACAATTATGAAACAAAATATCGAATTAAAACATTAATTATTAATTATCTTAAGAAATTATTAATTGCTCAAATTAGAAGTGAAGATATAACTTCAATTATTGCTTATAAAAGTAATGTCATTTTACGTTTGTTTTTTGTGTTTTTATAGAGTGAAAGTGTAGGGCTTAGATATTTATCTAATTTTAATATTTTTGTTTAAAAGATGAAAATACTTTTCGGTTTTTGAGAAAATTGTAAGGAGAACAACAGAGATTTTGATTTTTAGGTAAAAAAAAAGGTAAAAGGAAGCAAAAACTAGTTTTCTTAACAAATAGAAAATTTACTTTACCAAAATTATTATTGGGTAAAAAATGAAATTTGAAAAATTGGAAACGAAAAACTACTTTAAAAATTCCAAACAATCAACTTCTTAAAAAGTATCTGGATTAATTATTTCCATATTTCGGTTTTGTCTAAATTATGAAGATATATAATTAATACTCCACAGATATTACATAAGTTTAAAGTTTTATCATTAAATTAATTATTATTGATACCAAATATTATAATGAAAAAAAATTGCTTAGAAATGTAATGTTGTTTTGTTTGTTTTATGTTTTTTATAGAGTGAATGTGTAGGTCTTGTATACTATATTGTTATCTAATTTTAATAATGTTTTTAAAGAGACAAAAATATTTGTTTTTTGTTTTTGAGCAAATTGTAAGGAAAAACCAAGAAAATTGAGATTTTGATTTTTAGGTAGAAAAAATAATAGGAACCAAAAATTAGTTTTCTTAAAATAAAAAATTTACTTTATCAGAATTTGAAAAATGAAATTTGAAAAAACGGAAACCAAAAACTACTTTAAATACTCCAAACAATCAACTTCTTAACAACTATCTGGATTAGTTATTTTCAAATTTTCAGATTTCAGTGTGGTCCAAATTTTGAAGATATATGTTAATTAATACTCCATAGATATTACATAAGTTTAAAGTTTTATCATAAAAGTAATTATTATTGATACCAAAGATTATAATGAAAAACTTAAATATTTTTTCGAATTGATTTGAAGATTTATTATTGGAACAATGCACTCTTAAATCCTTGTTTTATTTTGAAGATATGGTACTTTTAAAGAAGTTTATGGTTGGAAATGACCTCAACTAAATTTTCAGGTGCAAGATTAAACATCAACCGAACATCCAAACCTTTTGTATATGTATATTTCAAGTTTCAAATTACTTGCTAAAGAAAAATAAATATTGTTCTTTGTAAGAATAAAAATAGACAAGCCAAAAGCAACGTTAGACTGGTACAGAAAAACAGCGAAATTTTATGTAATTTTCTAATCAGAAGTTCAGAACATCTAGGAGGAGTACCTAATATACTGTTTTTAATATATTCAACGTCTTTACAATTTTTTATCTGTTTTTAATATCCATTCATAGTATTTTCAAATAAAACTGGTAGTTTTAAGTATATTTTGGATATAAAGATTGAATATCCCTAATAAGGATATCTGAATTTGATTAGAAAATTTCTACGAAAATTATGAACTCGTGAAAATTTCTACAAAATTTGTATATCGGAAAAAAACATAATCTAAATCGTACTTTCTGATTTATAGTCTGCTACAAATTAAGACTACAAATTAAGAATGAATATATAAAATTATATTATTAACTATGTTGCATCGAGACGGATACGGAAACATATACGGGTACATAAGCGGGGACGGAAAACAGCAAAACTAAAAAATTATGGATACCGTACGGCAAATATATATGTCAAAAATATATATATGCTATCCATAATGGTCAAAATGAGAAAAGATTACACCAAAATCTTAACATAAAAAATAATTCAATATATTATTTTAAATAACATTAACAAAAACAATAATTAGACATCTTTTTAATCAAAATTTGGTTTATCTAATAAAAGTTCATAAACTTAGAAACAAGATTGAAAGTTAAAAATACAGTTAAAAGTTTACTTCCTTTTATTTTTTGGAAAAAGGTAAATGAATTAGCTTATGATACAATAATATTGAAGAAAATTCATTTCAAATATTCCATAAATGAACTACCACGTCCCCGAAATGTCCCCGTGCTGTTTCTATGGTGTTTCCGTCCCGGGAACGTTTCCGGTACGGGTACGTGAACCAAACTGCCGTCCCCGTGCTTCATAGATTATTAATGCAAATACACAGAGAGACGTGGTACCGATTTAAGTCGGAAACAAAAATTGAATTGGCTTAGTTTGGGGACAGCATACCAGTAATGACTTTGTAACAAGTGGTGATCTATGATTATCTTTGGGAGAATCGATCGCTTTTTATCAAAATACGGTCCATTTGCGAATGGTCACGCTACCATTCTCTATGTCATCATATTCCTTCATCTTATTCCAACATATAGAATCCAGAATATATGTGTATACATCATCCTTTAAAGTATTCCTTATATATAAATAATTTAACTGAAATAAATAGCTGGCTGTGCAAATTAATGCAATCAGTTAGTGGAACACTTTAATTGGTGCCATTCAGGACAATGATATGGAGTTGTATAAGAATGTAAGAAGACTTCAGAAAATATTTAACAACATATTGTTCATACGTTACGCAAAAAGGCTCAGAAAAAGGACTACCGACTCAGTAAAAAGAAAAAAAAAAGATGATGACAATTTTTTTGGAAAAGGGATCAAACTCAAGTGATTTTGGTCTTGGTCCCATCACACAAGTGAACTTCAAATAGCAAAATGTCAACTGTAAAACTAGATATAGCTTTTATTTACAAAAATACTATGCGAATGAATGAATATGACGGCGATATATGCTTCAGGAAGTCCCAAAGTTCGTCCACTAGTTTTATAATGCTATTATCTAGACTGATCTTATTAGAATATAACTAATCATCAACGGTTTCGGTTACATCCGTTTTAGTGATATCATCAGCTTTAGTTTCGATACAAAGCAAGGATGAGAAAACGAATTATCTTAAGTCCTTTATGCCTATTAATCATCAATAGATTGTTAGATACAGATAAGTATCTGATTCAGATAACGAGCTCTGCTCGAATTAAAGTGAGAATGTATACATCAAATTCTAAGAAATAATACAGTAGTACAAAAAGTAAAAAGTAATATATAATACCGTAGTACAAAAAGTAAAAAGTAATATTTCGATCTCGATCTCAGAAAATAAAAATCGATCTCTAAATCATCAAAACTTTTTTTTTCATCAAAACATATTTAGATTGTTAGTTGTAAGAAATTGCATTAAAAATTGTGTTAAGGTTTCATTAAGCTAATGAAACTACTCATATTTAAATCAGAAGACCAACATAACAAGAAATTATCCGCATTAGCGAGTGAAATCTATATAGCTAAATATACTTGTAACCTACTGATAAGCATGATTAACATACATACCTGCTCTTAGCTTTGCTCTTGTCCTTGCTGGTTTTGCCATGATTTCAAGTAGCGTTTTTAGAGAAGAGAATCTCATGTTGTCTGTTGTTCTAAACTTTATTATCTCCATGAACACCATTTGTGGTTGTTCTGGTTTTAATTCATGTGTTTCTTAGAGGTTTTTTTATCTTTTTGCGGCCTCGAAGAACAGAATTGCTGTAAAGCAGATTGGTTCAATTCATTGTAACCAAAACCTTCATTCCATGAATGATATTTACCATTTAGCAAAAAAAAAAAACATACATACCTGCAACGTTATTTTCCCATCAGTGAATAAAATGTCGTAAGGGAAACAAGTCTTATCTTGCTAAAATTTTAGATAAATATTTTGATTGTCCCGAAGTCCTAAGAGATTGTAAAGTTACTCATCATACCTAAATTAATCATCAGTGTTGCGGTCACAATCAAAGTGAGATTAAAAATATGATGAAGAATTCGAATGTTACTATTTACCAAGAGTTACACTTTTTTTCTTTTTTACACTAAATCAACAATTGCTACTTGAGGAAGTTTGCAGATGACGTTATTATGCCTTCAGTACAATCATGTGGCCACTTGCACTGCCGTAAGGATTCTGATTATTCGATCTGGCTCCGTTAATATCTCAAGAGCCACAAGGAATTTTTGTGCCCCATCATATTATTGTTAATACTAGGAACTATTTTCCGTAGTGATGTATTACGTGTGAATTTTCCGAAAGTTATGTCTCAATTTTTTTTCTTTTCTTATAAAAGTATTTCTCAAAGACTTTATATACACTTAAAGAAAATCTATATCCACATATTAATATCTATATATAAACATATATACATGCGATTACAAACTAACCAAGTTTCCGGGGATCATTTAACTGGACCTTCCAAAGTATTAATTATTAGTATAGCTATGGATGTGTTCATATATAGTTTATTAATCATGCATGCCGACGTATATATTGTGCAGGCAAGAAAGTGATGATCAATGAGAAGAAATCCAAAGTTGACATTCCCTTAACACGTAATATTGATCCCCATGATACTGGATTTTTTCTCTTCATGCATATCAATCTCTATACCTCGAGCATCATATCATTTGCTTCTCGTCTTATCCACAATCTAAATTCCCAAAATAAGATTCTTCTTTTTTAGTGTTGCCCCCATCATTAAAAGGATACTTCTATACGTTCATCAAGATCACATGTATGTGTATATATATAGAGTTCAACAGACTTACTTCTCCAGAACAAACCCATTGACACAAATCTCCAAGCGACTCAAAGAAAAGACTACTAAAATAGTAATTAGTATACTATACAAATGGATATGGTAACAACATTGGCGTCTCAAAGAGCAGTGGTGATTTTCAGCAAGAGTACGTGTTGTATGTCTCATGCAATTAAACGACTATTTTACGAGCAAGGTGTGAGCCCGGCAATTGTAGAGATCGATCATGACATAAACGGTAAGGATATCGAGTGGGCCTTGGCCCGGTTAGGTTGCAGCCCACCAGTTCCAGCGGTTTTTGTCGGAGGGAAATTCATTGGAACAGCCGAGACTGTCATGACTCTTCATCTCAATGGATCCTTGAAAAGGTTGCTCAAAGAAGCTGGTGCTTTGTGGCTATAGTACTGAACGGATGTGTTTTTTAAGAATTTATGTTATGATCTTTTTTCTGAGAACATTTTATTATGATATTTACTCTCTGACCTTTGAAAAAGTATTCACTTTTTGTACACTTAATCTAAGAATATGTGAAGAACTACTTTTATGGAAAGTTATACTTGTCTATGTTCAGGTTGATTTTATGATGATTAACTATAAGCCAATTTAACTTGGACACAAGTCTCCACTTAAATCTCATAATAAGTTAATCTCTTGATTTTTATGCTTCTACGGTAATTAATTTTCATTCAGAAAGACTAATTTTGTTTTAAACTATTTTTCTCTTTAATGCTAAATCGTAAAAAGCAAAGTTTATAAATGAATTTGTAAGAGCAGAAATAGATAATACAAGAAATTGAACAGAGTGAGAGGTTAAAGTTTTATTAAAAAAGTTAAACAAAAAGACTAAGAGACAATTATGAATATTCTATATTAAAGTTATTATGAATTTATATAATTCTACATTAAAAACTCCCTAACTAAATATAAGTGTAAAGACTATATACCCAAAATCATAAACCTTAACAGTAGTGATTAAATCCTTTATCCTAAAATATGGAGAACATAATATATATTTCAAAATTAAAGTTCATAATTATCTATGATCTACTTATTAAACTCCATGTGAATTTTCTGAACTAGATAAAAGAAAGCTGGTAAAAAAGGATAAATGACAACATATTGATAAAAGTATATTTAAGTGGAGAAGTGACAATGATATTTTTCGTACTTACTATTTACCATTTCTAATACTATATATACTTTTTCATTTTAATGTTTACACATATATAATAGCTATCCGAACATATATTCACCAATTTTTTATTTTCGAATGAATGCTAAATTTATTCAATCAAAACTTTTTTTACATCGAGTGCATCAGTTTAATGAATCAAAGAATCAATCTAATCCTAATCTTCTGGTTTCCTCCGGGTTCCAAACCATGTAACAAGTCCGTCTTCAAAATGGCCCCTCCCTTGTAGTGAAAGCAACCAAAGTCTGACTGTTTTGTCTATAAACTTGATTAGACAGTGAGCATCACGAGGCTGCTCTCCATGACGTCTGGTATTCCGCTCCCTCCATAGTGAGTGCATGGTTGCTTGGAATGTGTATCGGACCAGGAAATTCTTTGTTGGAGTGAGTCTCGGATTACAGATAATCTCAATGACCTCACTCCATAGTATATTCACCAATTTAGTCAAGTGTATTATATAGTTCTTGTTTTCTCGAGCTGGCCGATGCATGAATTGATAGTTGCAAATTTTCACCTAATTTTTTTTTGATCAAATTTTCACCTAATTTTTAGATAGATAATTAAACTAAGGGTTAAACCTATTATAAGTTACAAAAAATAATTTTTTTTTTAAAAAAAGTATTATAATTTATATTTCACTAAAATTAATTAAATATCATAAAAATGAATACGTGAAAGCTTGATAAAAATAATATAATATTTTTAGAATTTCACGAAGCTTGATTCAGATTTTATAACTAGGTAAAAAACATAAAATCAAAAACAAGGTATAATTAATTATGTTGTGTTTACATTAAACTTACATTAGACGTGTTATGTGACATATATATGAACTGTTATAGTGATTGAGAATGAGACAAAGAACGATCTTGTAAAAGCAAAGCCTATGGTGAGAAATCTACATATGAATGATTTATCAAATATTATTTTTTTCTCAAAACTGATTTATCAAATATAATATTTATATTCTAAATATATTATTAGATCTGATGGGTGTTTAATGGGAGTTTACATGCGTCAAAAGGATTCTTCATGAATATACATTTTTAACTCAAATCTTTACTTTTTGAAATTTACTCAATTTTTAGCTGTAAAGCCCAATTGAAAGATTCTTCTAATGGAAGTGGTCTACATGAGATACCATAAGGTTTAATTCTATAGAGAGTATATGGCTTGGATTAGTATATACAAGAGTCTAAGAAGAATGTAAGTTTGGCATTAAACATAATCCTAATTAAACAAAGGTTCATCACGATTCTAAAGAAAATATAAGTTGCTCGTCTTTTTAGGGGATATTTAATTAGCCTTTATGCGGTTATGGTCTTATAGATGCTTCTTTGTAACTCATAACGTAACATGAGTGGCAACATGATCGTCCTGCAGCATGAAAGTAATTATCAATGAGAATCCATGCAAAGTTGACATTCTCTTAACATGTAATATTGGAATCTTCTCTTCATGCATCATCACAAGTTACAATATGCATATTGATCTCTATGCCGATACACTATCTTACTTAGATTTGTCAACTTTCGAGCATCTTATCATCTGCTTCTCTTATCCACAGACACAATCCAACTTCTCAAAAAAAAAAGATTCTCCATATTTTGCATTGGCCCATCACTAATTGAAAATGCCTCTACTATTCATTTAGAAAACATGCAGGTACTTGTATATATAGAGTTCAAGGCTCACTTCTCCAAGATAAACCATCAAAACAAAATTTCCAAGCAATAACAAGAACATATATAAATAATAAGAGAATATTACTATACAAATGGATGTGGTAGCAAGACTGGCGTCACAAAGTGCAGTGGTGATATTTAGCAAGAGTACGTGCTGCATGTCTCATGCAATTAAACGGCTGTTTTATGAGCAAGGAGTAAGCCCCGCAATTGTCGAGATCGATCAGGAAATATACGGTAAAGATATCGAATGGTCTTTGGCCCGGTTAGGATGCAGCCCTCCAGTTCCCGCAGTTTTTGTCGGAGGGAAATTTGTTGGTACGGCTAATACCGTCATGACTCTTCATCTTGATGGGTCATTGAAAAGGTTGCTTAAGGAAGCTGGTGCCCTGTGGCTTTAGTAGTTTAGTTCATCTCATGTATTCTTGAGAGTTATATATATGTACTTCGACCTTTTAAAGCTTCTTCACTTTATGCACAGTTAATTAAAGCGTATGTGGAGAACTGCTTTGTATTTTGGGTATTATGTCTTTGTGGAGGTTGATTTAATGTTAACTATAATCCATTTTCGATAGAATCTTTGTTTTATTTCCACTTTTTACAACTTGGAGGGTAATAATAACAAGCAAAAACTGTAGTTATACTTAAATGGCAATTCCTACTTTTAAGTTTTTGTTTCTTTCCTTAAATTGGTAATGATAATATTTCCAAATTTAATATTTTCGCGCGAGACAGAGACAGGTTATCCCTTATCCTCACCAGAGCATAACATTAACAACTCAATAACTAAGAGATGTGTATTCAGTCTAAAGTTTTAGATGATTTCAATGAATTGTAGAATTTAAAGTGACTTTTGCTAAAACACTAAAATATCACCTAAAATGATTGAATTTGGCTTTTGATTTATTTTAAAAGAAACTCCATCCAATCATTCTGAAATCATATGAAAACTTTAAAACTCCACTACTTAGTAGGGGTTATTGGTTCTAATATTTTAATAAATTTACAAATCTTGAAAACCTTTGATAAATCCATGATTTTTAAATCAAACAAGTGGATTTAAGAATACTCTGTATGAATTTCAAAATCAAAATAGGTGAATTTTTAAAAATTAATCAAATGGATTAATAACTAGAAGCCGTACAAGTTCTGAAGTTCATGAGAGAAAATGCATGGTCTGGAAAATTGTTCAATGGTTAGTGTAAGAAGGTGACAAGGAAATAGTTAGGAGCTGAGTGCTGGAGAAAAGCTAACTTGCTCGAGGACGATGAGGAAGAGGATACAAAATCTGGCCCGGCCTTTTGTCCGACTCTCCCTGTGGACCCCCAACGCCCGATCTGTCAAATCGATGCGTCATCGATTGATAATGGAACGGTCAATGACCTAGGGTGGTTTTATAAGGATCAAATGGGAGTCAAAAAATTTGGACTACAAGGATGCCGAAAAAGCATATCAGCCCTTCATGCGGAGATGGAAGGACTCATATGGGCGATGTCTTGTTTAAGAGATTTTCAGTGTGCTGCGATTCATATGGAGACGGATTGTTGCGACCTGGTAGACATGATTGCTAATCCTACTGACTGGCCGGCCTTTGCCTCCGAGCTAGTCTCTTTCCGACTTCTACAAACAAGGTTCTTAGAGTTTGCATCATCCATATTCCGAGGTTTAGGAATTTGCGTGCAGATTCTCTCACCAAAGAGGCGAGAAATAGTGGTATTCTCTTTTCCCATATAGATCAGACCCAGCCGGACAGAGCATTTCTACGGAACGGCTCAAGTATGTCTACCACTTGATCTTACAAAATGGGCGTCAACGAAAAAAAAAGAAGTTAGGAGGGTCCAAATGGTTAGTGTGAGAAGGTGGCAAGGTAATAGTTAGGAGAGTCCAAAGCTAAAAAAAAATTGAAATTCGGCCGGTGACTATATATTGAAGAAAGTGAGAATTTATTTGTTACCCAAAGCAAAGAAAGTAATGATGAATACAATATGAGATATTTTCCAAACAAACAAGATTTGAGACATTGACAAGTAGACAATGTAATTTATCATGTACCACTATTAAGAATCAAAGCAGCACTAATATTTAAAAACTTGCTCTAACGTAAAACACTATTAAAAATCCAATCAAAATATCAAGGTTAAACTCAGTATTTGATCCCTTGTATTTTTACTCTAAAAACATTTACAAATCCACTCAAATTTAATTTCAAGTCAAATCCTTAAATAAATATATGCTTTTGAACAACACTAGATTTCAAAATCTATTTTAAATTCATAGAACCAATAACCCTAGATTTTCATATGAGTTTTAAAATCAAAGAACCAATAACACTGAATTTGTCATAGATTTTAAAATCCACTACAATTAAAACACTGTAGTTTTTTTTTTTTTTTTTTTGAACTACATTTAGTATTTTATGGGTTTGGTCTATTAAATATAATTAAAGATTAATTCATATATATTCTGATGAAAACAAAATTTGAACATAGTAATTATTGTTTTCCCCGTTTTAATTATAAGTTCATAACCAAATAATCGAACCTAATAACTTTAATTAAATGTCTTCTCATTTTTAATATTTTTTAAACTTGCTTTCATTATTATTATTTTTTTGTCTAAATAATATATATTTGTACTTACAAATTTAAATAACAATTTTGAACTTTATATAGAAAAGCTCTGACATTTTACCGTTTACTTTAGAAAATAAACTAAATAAAGCACAATACACACCAATGTTATAAGTGAATACAAATCACATTGAACAAGACACAGTCACACACCAATGTTAATCATGGATAACATATGAATCTATAACATAAAAGACATAAACAATTAAATTTATCGCATTTTCAAAAGTTTAAAACATATGATTAAGAAAAACAAATATCCGCGCGGACGCACAGATCAAAAATTAGTCATTATTTAAAAAATAAATCTAACAAAATCAAAATTTAAATAACCAAAATAAAACTATATTTGGATTTTTGGGTCAAATATTTACCGTTCAAAGTTCAAACAACTTAAACATGAGCTAAAACAAAACTTTTATTTTTTAAGAACATAAATAATTCAAGGTTACCCAAAATCCAAAACACCTTATCCTGAATTTATTTTGGCCACCCCTGCTATCTTGTCTAGACTACAACAATAGTTCTGCATGCGTAAGAAAAAACAATTTGTTGATTGGTCCAGCAGGTCCCATTGTATCCGAATTCTGATAGAAGATGTTTGGTTTCGCTCAGTCTAATTCCAGTAATGGTGTGATAGTTAATTGATAGTTATATTTTCGGGGGTTGTCGTTATTGACATAAACAAAGAGTGATAATAATTGTACAAGTAATTTGTAGTTAGTTTATAGTCTGTACACATAATAATTACTAGATTTCGATGCATATCTTTACGGATATTTGTATTAGCTTTTTTAAACACTAAGTGTTTCGTCCACGCGCATGAGAGCTTGGACATTTTATAATTATTTATTTATATAGGTATTATTAATTAAAATACTGTAATGATAAAATATTATTTATGTTTTCATTTGGTGATTATACATATTATAATTTTTTGGATATTTTATTCGTACACTATATTCATTATTAAGAATACATTTAGAAATCACTCAATATTCTAATTAAATAAAATTAAGATTTTTACATGATTAATACTTAGTTATGTGTTTTATGTTTTTGAATTTTTCAAATTTTGTATTAAAGATTTTTTTTGAATAAAGTTTCAGTATATATATAGGAATTATCTTTTTATTTGTAAATATATTTATAGATTTTGGATAATTCTTATTATTATTAAGTTTAATCACTTATATAATCAAATAAATCTTAAATTCATTTATGTTTTTAGTTAATTTATGTATTTTATTCATTAAAGGTAACAACAACATTAACGGGTCTAACTTTTAAGGTGAGAGTCTGGATGAAAAATATCACTTCATAATTAATAGTATAGATACCGTATATGTTTATTATACATAAATAAATATTGTGGTACTAAAAGTTGCATTATTATTTGTATTGAATGTTATTTTTAGTATATAATAATTGTATACAGTATTGAATGTTTTTGGATCTTTGGACATTTAGCATATATAAATTTGTTAGTAATAAAATAAGTAAAAATAATTGTCAATTTTATATTATTCATGTGCATTAATATTTAAAATTTTAAAATAGTAATTATATATAATATGAACAGACTACTTATTTTTAGATTGGAAAAAATAATATGTTTTAATATTTATGAAATGGTAAACTGATTTTATATTGTTTTATATCATATTATTTGTATTAATTTATATATATAATCAATTAAATATCACATTAATTAATTGTCTACTTTAAGGAAAAAATATTAAAATATATTATCATCTAAATCAATCATTAATGTTGACTATAAAATAATTGATTATATTTTTAAGGAAGATTTTTCAAAATAATTAATGCTAAAAATTAGGATAGTTTAAAGGTTAGTTCATATGAATATTTCAACTTTAATAAGATAGACTAGTTAAGACAAATATAAGGATCATAGTATAAAATAAAAATAGTTTTAAAGTTAAATTTGAAGTTTTGATTTTGGAGCATAACACTTACAAACTTCATATATAGAGTTTTGCAAACTCTAAAATAGAGTGTCTTTTTGAAGATGCTCTTATAACAAAAAGTTAAATCATTGATCACAAAAATTTCATTGTTGACTTTTAACAATTTTAGTAATTTATAAATTTTTGAAAAAATCAAAATATAGCATATAAGAAAAATATAAAATTGTTATTATATTATTAATATGATTGTTTAATTTATTTTAAGAATATAAAATTTAAAAAATTAATGGAAAATAAAATTGTTATCAAATCTTTATTGTTCAAAATCATTAATTTTCATATTTTGTTAACAATATTAGGAAATTCCGTAGCTTTTATTTGAGGAAATAATGGAGAATATTTTTGTATACACTAACAATTAATTACATAGTTAGTTTAATAAAAGTATGGACCAACTTATTTTTCTAAGGGATTCTAAAAATTAACGTAGTAATAACATGTGGCTACCAAAATATATTGTAATGCTCCAGGATTAATATATAAGGGATACATGACAAAAAGGTATAATTAACCGTAAAAGTAAAAGGGTAAATAATTGGGGGGTAATAATTAAGAAATGAGTATTCTAGATACTAAGAGCAAGATTATTGCTGGGATAAAAATGAGGGCTCTAAGCATTTTTTAGTATTATTTGTAGAGTAAGTGACAAAGTTAAGATACAATATGGAAACCGTAGATTATTGCTAGAACAAATGTTGTATCTTAGTAAGCAAACGTTTTGCATCCGAGTTAGAAAGTTTAACAGAAAGTATCGAATTCCCATACAAACTTTCAAGTGCTTCAATGGTACGTTCTTGGATAAGAAATGGTAAACGAGGCTTAGACTGTTTCAGCAGAGTCTGCTCAAAGACTAATGGATCTGACGCCCTGGTTGTTTCTGCTTTGCCATCATATATCATCAAGGCTGAAGCCAAGGCTATTGTTGCATTTATTAAAATAGGAATACCATTAGAATTAGCAACTTCTCTCTTTGCTTCTTTAGATTGAGCAGAAAGCGACTTGAGAGCAGCAGCAGCCTCTGCCCTAACTGAGGCTTCATTGCCTGATCCTAATAACTTGAGAAGCTGTTTTATAATGTCAGCAGTCAAAACACTGGAACAAACGGAGGCATCCTCCATCATCATACACGCAAGATGGAAGCACACATTAGAGACTGTACTTGACTTCCCGCTTGTAAGCAGCTTCACAAGTACATCCACTCCCCCAGCTTGAACTTTCTACGACCAAAATCCTTCTGTTGTGCTAAAGAGGTTCTTAAGTGCACCGGTTAACAAACCATCAACCTCTCCTTTCTTATTCCCACTGCGCAATTGGTCCCACAGAACCTGCAGCGATCTGTCCTTCAACTGAACTGGACTTGAGAAGACCAAGCAACGGCGGAATGCATTCCCCAAGTAACACCTTAACTCTAAGTTCCTTCTCCTTGCAGAGTGAACCCAAGCCGGTTGCAGCTTGTCTCTTCACTCCAAGTGATCCTGATCGGAGAAGAGAGATAAGTACAAGCACAGCTTGGGAATGTGATCTCACAGTACTGAACGCATATAACATTAAATTTGAAAACATAAGAAAATTACAAAAAATTTCAAAACCGAGGATGAACACATACCTTGTTTAGATTGGAATCCGCGGACAATCTTTGCCGGGACAACAGATCAGTCTGGATTGAGCGAAATAAAGAAGAGATATCGATTTGGAGATGAAATCGGCGGTGAAGCTTTGGTGGGATCGCAAACGGCATTGAAAGAGAATAGAAAAAATGAGAGAAAGATTTCCGCTTTGCCCTACACAAGTTCAACGGCCACTCTTATGCTTCCACATGGCACTTAAAGACCAGCCAAAAAACTTCTTAATTAAGAGGCGTCCTTATGCTTTATCAGTTTTTACAATTAATTTTGGACCAATTATATCTAAGAAATTAACTTAAGAAGCGCCGATAATCTTGCTCTAACAAAGTGAACATTGTTGATTCTATTCCAGAATGATTAAGTCGTAATCTTAGGTTAAATCATTTTGATATGATAGGTTGTTATATCGTTTATGGTTGGTTCCCACCTTTATGCTGACGTTTAACCACATCATCCTCCGTCCATTATTTCCTTTTTTTATTTAGTAGAAGGGACAAAGAAATAAGAACAAGTATACAATACTTAGGTAATTATTATAGCCATTCATGATTAAAATAATAAATTAGTTTCTCTATTTTGTTCTTGACATATAATGGAGCCTTTTGTCGTTTGGTAAAACAAGTAAAATAATAATAGAGCCTATTGTCTTTTTTTGGAACATGGAGCTCATTGTCTTTATTTGTCTCGTTTCTTCTAAATTTATCTTCCAGATTGCTCAAATAACTCTTTGAGCATCCTAGTTCAAATCCTGTGATGAGAAAGACTATTTTAGATAACTACATAGGAAGACTCTTTTTTCTTTTCCTTAGAAGTATTATTTTGGGATATATATATGCTTAATGATACAAACTACAGAAAATTGCATTGTTTGCACATACATAATCAACAAAAACAACGGATGGGATATTACTTTTCTTATCCTTTTTGTTCCTTCTCAACATAATATAAACACATAAACACACCCAACTCCACCCACAAACACATATAATATATTACATTTTGTATGTACATTGGGGAGTTTAATCATGACATTAAAACCCTTTGGTGGGGAACATTCCTATCATTATACACACAAAAGTTCCAAACTAAATTTTATAAAAATAAAACAAATAAGTGGTAACTAGTTAATGGATGGTGAAAGGGTTGTGAAAGTAATATTAGTTAATTGAGAATCTTGGCAAAATCAAGGGACTTCTTGCCTTGGAGCTTGTTGGAGACATAGTGATAACTGTAGTCACCATGATTGTAACTTCTATACTTGCATGGGTTGGTCTCTTCATCAACCAACTCACCCATAGGTTCTATTTCAACCTCATAGTTTGGTGCATAGAATGTCACTATTGTAAGCCTCTCCCTTTCTCTGTTTGTTACTACCCTATGCTCCACACTCTTGTATTTCCCATTAGTTAGCACCTATAATCATATAATAAAATATATAATTAATAATTTAGAAGAATGGTCAATAAATTAACTCAGATTGAAATCCATGTAAAAGAATACCTCAACTGTATCACCAATGTTGATGACAAGGGCATTTGGAAGAGGTAGTACAGGGACCCAAGTGTTATCCTTGAGGATCTGAAGCCCAACACAACTGTCCTTGCTCTGTTGAAGAACCGTTAGAGCACTTCCATCAGAATGTGGGCTAAGTCCCAAGACAAGATCAGGACTTGAACATGGTGGGTAAAAGTTCATCCTCACTGCTTGCACTGCTTCCCCAAACATTACCTCAAATCTCTCTTCCTTTAGACCCAAGCTTATTGCTATGTAATTCAACAATCTCTTGCACAACGTCCTTATATCTTTTGAGTAACCTTCAAGACTTTCACTATAGAAGCAGAAAAATAACTGTTTAGTTTTTTTTTTATTATAAAAGGGTGGATTAATTAAAGAATTGAAAATATGCATCACTAAGCTATGTAAGGTAATTTTTAAATCATCCCATGTTCCACTACAAGTTTTTAAATTCTGAATCATGATTTCGAACATGGATACAGTGTATATGACAATTTCTAGTAAAAAATATTTGCATTTGCCCGCCATATACTCACTAATTAATAACTCTATAGAATATGATGATCATGAAAACTGACCAAAGGTACTTCAGAAGATTAAATCATTGTGTCAAGGACTTAAGGGCAAAGAGGATTTTTAGTTGAGAACCTGAACCGGACTGGTTTAGAAGGCCAAAGTTTGGGGTTGCGAATAGAAGGAGGATGAACACCAAGAGCAAACATGTTGCACCAATCAAGCTTCTGATCTTCGGAGAAGATGAAAGCTTGACCGTAACCTTGTACGGTCCCTGGCTCCATTGGATACTTCTTCTTCTCCTCCAATGGCATCTCGAAGAACTCCTTAGCAACTTTCTCCATATCATCCACCACATCTACTTCAATCCCGTGATTTATAACCTATATGTAGTAGTAGGAATAGCCATGATGGGATTCGTCTATAGTTTTAACTTTTAAACATAAGTCCAGTCAAATGTAATAAAATTCATATTTATACATATTATTGGAGTTTACGGTTTAGCCTAAGAAACCCAATAATCAAGAAAATAAGAATTGTCGAAATTAGATATCCGGATATGAGTTCAGTAATATAAATAGAAAAATCAAAATGAATATCATAAATTACCTGAAAAAATCCCCAAGCTTCACAAGCTTGTGAGAGCTTAAGAATCTCAAAGAGAAAATCATCATGAGTATGAGCTTTCGAGAGTTTAGAGAGATCAATAACAGGAATATGTTGATGAAGGTGAGTCTTAGGTGACACTAAGACTCCTCTTTCATTGGCATCTCTTATGAATCTCTCTGGAACTTTGTTTGGTTTTGATTTTATTAGTTCTTGAACATCCTCTATTTTACCAACTCTAATCGAAGAAATGGGTAGAGGAGCCATGTTGAAGCAAGCAAACAGAGAAACAAATATCAGATTTAATATATTTTCTGCTTTTTTTGGAATTTAGCTAAAACAAGTGGGATATTTGCTGTGAGTCGTGAGAGAGTCTCTATCTATACTTATAGAAGAAATACTTGGAGCTCAGTGATGTTTATTATTGTTTGCATGTTGTGGGTAGAATTGAGTGTTGCAGGTTTTGTGGAGAGTAGGGTCCATTTGCGCACTTTCTGTTTTCATAAGTTCAAATTAAATAATAAATACTGTTTTTTTCCAAAATTCTCTGTACGTCATTTTGTTGACCATAATTAATAACTAAAAATCCTAAAAAAATAACTCTAAAATTACCCGTTTTGTGCAACACCAACCCTCCATCTATAAAAAAGTGCCATTAGTACATCTCTTATACATTATTATTTGAAAAATGATTTTGATAATTGTCATTACCATATTCATTTTAATCAAATAATATTAATTAAAATTATTATTTCTGTACATGATGTAGAAAAACTCTTAATTTAACCAATCAAAAGCTTGTAACATTAGTTGCCATGATCATTGACACCATGTATACTTTTGACACTGCATGTATATGTCTCCCATTTATGTTCATGAGGTTGAGGATTCGGAAATAAAAACATGATGCTGATTAGTTGACTCAAAAGTATTGTAAAATCAGAAGAAATTTTGCGTTTGAGTTAGCCATTTCTGGTTAATTAATCTTTATACTAGAATATGAGATCTGATTTCCATAAACTGCGATTTTTAAAAATTAAAAAAGCAAGCTAGTTTATAGAAAACATGTTTTTGTGGTAAAACTGTGGCTATATACATGATTAACCACGGTTTTTTCTATTCACAATTCTATTACCACAGTTTTTTTTACAACAACCGTGACTATTTTTCATATATATAACCACGATTTTTGGATGTATATATATGTGGTTATAACTAAGATTTTTATTAGTGACAGCTGGTATGATGGAAATATTACTTAACTTATTAAAGTGCAGTATAGGAAAGTTCTAGCTATTATGAATCTTTGTGAAACATGTAAATTTACCCACGAGATAGTTTTTTCTAGTATTAGAACCTCTATAAATTAATAATATTAGAGCTTTGATATTTTATTAATTTATAGAGATATTAATTTATAGAAATTTCTATATATAAAATTTTGTTTTATTTTAAGATATATTTATTTTAAGATAATAAAATATTTGACTTTAGTGTATATACATTAATTATTATTTTTTAAATCTGATATTTGTATTAGTTTTATTATATTATTTACTGTATATAATACATATTGCAAAGAATTTACATGTGATTTTAGATATAATATTATTAAATCTCATCAAAATATATAAGTGTTAAGAAAATATAAGATAATTTCATTGTGAATATAAGAAAACAGTATAATGGTATGTTCTTACTTAAATAAAATATATATACATATAAATTATTAATTTATAATTGTAAGGGGATTATATATATATATAAATTTACATAGAATTTTCTTAAAAAATATTATCTTATTCTTTTATCGATTTGTGTCAAATTTTGAACCGGTCCAAGTTGAGACCCACAAAATTTATTGATTTATAAATATTATTAATTTATAGAAGTTATACTGTATATGACAAATAATTGTATTAAAAAAAATGAAAGTCCAGTTTTTTATCACGTATTTCAATAAATTTGAAGGGCTTTTTGCATAATTGACCTGAAACTTGAAGTCAACTACAAAACTAACCTCTTTTTTTTTTGGAACTTTATTTTGTCCAATTCACCCCACAAGTTCATATAATTCACGAAAATGCCATCAATTTGTTTTTTTATTTTTTTTTCGAAAATGACATATTTACTCTCTCATCCTCATCATCTTCAAGTAATTACAAGATTGCCATTGTCATCAATACTCCAACAACCATGAACAACCAATTTTTGAAGCTCTTAATGCCTCCAAATTCCATTTACTCTTCTTCTTTCTCTATTCTCATGAACTAAACAACACATTACAACACATATCTCTCACTTTCTCTCCACAATGAGCTAAAAAAAACCCAAGATTT